TAGCGCGGGTGCCCGAGCTGGGGCTGCTGCTATTCCAGGACAGGGAATGCTGCTATTCCAGGACGTTGACATCCAGCCCCTCTCCGAGCAGAGCCCATGGACGAAGCCGGTCGCGCTGGTCGCACTGGGGAGGACCAGGAGCGTGTGCTCTGCCTGGGAAGGGTCTGGATGCGCTGCAGGGCTGCGAGCAGAAAGCACAGGGTGGCTGGAAGCTGCATCCCTGACCTCTCCCTAGGGATGTCTGTGCAGGCACAGAAGGAAAAACAGTTACAGGAGAGGTTGTTTCCTTGCTAAGTTGGCTGGGGCCAGAGCTCATGGTAACGACTAGAGCATCCCCCTTCCAAGGGGGTTCTGGTATTTACTGAAGCTCACCCCTCAACTAACTTTAGTGAAATTTCACTAATAAAAAGAGAAGAAAAAGACTGCTACATAGATTCTACTTCTGATTGTAGTTAATCTTCCCTGTATATTTTAATTTTTTTAAACAAGCATTTTAACCAGAATGAAATGTTTTTATATTGTTCTAGTTTAGATATGTTTCCATCTTTGAAATAAATAAAACATGTAAATACTTGGGGGCCTTCTTTGCTCTTTTTACACTTAAGAAATGTCTCAGTTTGGGAGTTAATTGCACCAATCTCCCTCCCTGGCGCTCCCCTTCAAGGGCAGGGTGAGATCTGCTCCGGACCAGGGCACATTGGGCCCCAGCAAAGACTCGTGTCAGGGCTTGGACATAAAACTGAGCCCAACCCACAGCCTAGCTGGGCTTTGAACACTCCAGGAGCAGGCAGGGATCCCACCTTATCACAGGGGACATGGAAGCTCCAAGGAAGGCTCCGTGGGAGCCCGGATCTGCCTCTTTCCCCCTAAGCAGCCCTTCCTGCAACGGGCAGGAGGCTGCAGGGGAAGATACATCAAAACTCAGGGGGTTCAAAATATAATGGGAAGCCACAGCCTGAACAAAGGATGCACCATCCCCTCCTCCCCAAAGAGTCTCGAGAGAGACACTGGTCTGTTTAAAAATTCAAAACAGACTTTAAGAAAATTATTATAAAAAATACAGATTCCGTTGCCGCGCATGGTGGGACAGCTGGCCAGGGTTGGCCACGACGGGTCCAGCTCTCCCCTCAGGAGGAGGCAGCTGGCAGGAGAGGGGTCAGAGAGTCATATCCTCCTGCTGGGACACGTCAGCCAGCTTCATGTTTTGCCACATGAAATCAATGAACATGGAGGCCTCGAGCAGGCGGCTCAGTCGCTGGAAATGTCGCTCTGCAGGGAGAGAAAACTACTGGTTGGCACCAGGGAAGGGGAAGTTCAGCATCTGAAGGGTGTGCAGCATTATCCTGTTAGACCAGGGCAAGCTGGGAACATCCACAGCACAGAAGACCTCAGTCTCACAGGCTGCGAAAACACATTTGTCAGCGTTAGTAAAGAGGCCAGGAAGGGCCGATAACCCTGCAGTGCCAGGATGAAGGTAACAGAACTCGTGGGGTGAGAGCTTGGAGGAGCAGAGGGCAGCTGAGGCCCCGCACAGCGAAGCTCGAGGCTTTCCACCACGGGCAGCGCCAGCTCCGAGCTCCCAACAGCTCCAAGCTGCTGCTCTGCGGCTGGAGCTCCCCGTTGGGACTCACCCGTGTAGGGCAGCAGGGACTCCACAGCAGCCTTGATGCCCGAGTACTGCAGGAGGCAGTCGGGGGTCTCGTGCTTCAGGAGGATTTCAATGACAGCCTGGGCCTCGTGGCAGTTCCGTGAGTTCGTGTTCCACGTCACCAGGAAGGCTAACACGGCCTCTGCGGAGGAAGGAGATGATTCGTGTCCGGCTCCATGGAGAGAGGTCGGGTTAGGAAGCACCTCTCCTGCCCTAGTGAGTTCAGCTCCCAAGCACCATGACTGAGGAGCCCGGAGAGGTTAGAGCTACACGGAGAACCCGCTCTGGGCTGTCACAGGGACGCCCTAAAGAAGGGGGTGATCAGGCAAGGTGCCCTTTTGGCAGCTGTGACAGAAGGAAAGCAGATTTAGCACATTTTGGTGCATGGCAGGCATGACTTTGTGCACTAGTGCTCAGTGCACTCATGTCCCACTGCAGGACACTCTGCTGCTGCAGTAAGAGAGCCCAGGGACAGGCCATGCCGGCGGCTGAGGAGTCCCACAAGCTCACGGCAACTCCTGGCATTTGCCATGGCACCAGAGCAAAGAGCCTGGTCCTGGGCAGCAGCACTGGGAGTTCGTGAGTGAAAGGTGAATCTAGGGATTCTCCTAATTTCAGTTGAGAAAATAGCTCCTCAAACAAGCCTTTAGCAAAGAAATCAGGTTGCAACAAACCTTTTTGATCCTTTCGTAGCCGAAGGATGTTCTCTTCCAAGTGCTTCCTCCCATCGACTTCCTTGAGGATGGCTGCAAAATAGAAATGAAGAGGGCAGGGGAAGAATAAGAATTCAGATTCAAGAGCAAGATCCATGATCTCCTCCCACACTGAGGATCCTGCAGGAAATAGCACACAGTCCTGTTGCAAGAACCTGCGGGCACAGAGGTCAGCACACTCCACATACACAGGCTGAAAACTCCCTCCTGGCTCTTCCAAATCTGCAAGTGTGTCAGGATGCAATGAACACTCCTCTGTTGGCACGGGCTTTCTCAGGCACAAGGGTGGCCCCTGACCTGCTGTCTTATCTGTCTGACCGTGCACCACAGGGACAAAACTCTTGCCATCTCACTGCATCTCTGTGCAGAGCTCAGCTTGCGAGCAGCTAAAGCCACCAGCCACCCTGATACCCAGAGTGTTGCTCAGAGTCTGTCACACAGGAGCCAGTTTCTTAAATGAGCCCAGACTCCAGGCAGAGTTAAATAACAGTAAGTGTCTGTATAAATTCTGGGTGCTACTTGCTACCCCAGGAATGAAAGCTGGCTTGACTTGCAATGCGAGACTAGTGCTCCTCAGCAATCAGCTGTGTTTGTCACACTCGGAAAACAGTGACTTCTCATGTCCCTGCTGTGTTGGATTTCTTCTGAGATGCACCCACTAGTTGAGAGCAGGGAGACTTAGTAGCGGCAGTAAGAGCATTGATTTCACCTAAGGAATGGCAGTGATATGAGAAAGAGAACACATAGGTTGTCAGACAGTTAAGTTTTGTAGTCCTCACCTACCTGGAAGAGACGTTTTGGAAGGTGAGAGGCAGAAAATGCCTTCAGAACTTGGCATGGACTCACCTTTGACCACCATCAACACTGTGTGTGGACGATCCAGAGAGATTGCTAGTCCTAAAGCTTTGAGATATCTTTTCTCATGGAGAAGGTTAGAAAGTTCTTGTTCTCTGAAAAACAATTCAGGATCAAGAAAATGTCAGAGGAATATTTGGTTTGTGGAACAAAATGCTATGCAGAAAGCAGACTTGGCAATAAGAGCATGCAGAAATTCAGTGCCAAGAAATTAATACCACTTTCCAAACAACACTTCTTTGCCCTCATTGTGCAGATAATTACCCTGGCACATACAAGGGCTCTCCGAGTCATTTAGTACTGGCTGATGCATGAGGAAATTAATGATAATAGGTTTCATCAGTTTGACTTGGCTTATCTCAGTTTATAAACATGAAACTAAGATTATCAGATGACAGTATTATAGCAAGGATTTACAGTAACTAAAGATAAATTACGAGACAGATGGAGATGACTGTGATTTGATATAATCGAAATAGCTACGTGACAGAATCCATGGATTAGAAGGAACTGGATGACCAACTGTGGACAGTCTCACTGTGAAGAATTTGCCTTTTCACAGCCCACCACTGCCCAGGATCCACTTACTTCATAATCTGCTCTTCCTGCTTAGCTTGTGCCTCTTGCTGTTCAATATCAGTGACATCCTTTAACAAATCAGAATACAATCATGTCAAATCTTGCTTTAATACAGAGGCATTTTTGTTTAGCCATCAAATGATTGTAAGATTTGTGTTTTGTAAAAAGATCTTCAGGTCAAATAATTGCTGAATCTATCAACTTGCAACTTCCACACGACCCTTCAAACTAGTGCTTGGGCAGGCTAAGGCCCATGTGCTGGTCTCTTTATGACACTGTCTGGGTGTAGCCAAATCAAAGAAATCAAGATACACCTTACTGACCCAACTGCAAGGGCAGGAAATGAGGAGTGCACGTGTCAGGCTGGAACAGGGTTAGGAATAAACCAGGGGGATCCTGCTCTCTGCACTGCATCCTGACTAGCAGCCTCGAGGAGGGCCGGGGGCTCCGTACAGTACCTTCCACAGCGTGATGCAGGAGTCGCTGGATCCCGACACCACCATGTCGTCTTGCTTGTTGGAATGAAGACCCCAGATTTTATCTTCATGACCATCTAATGTTTTCACACACTCATTCGTTTTAATCGTCCAGAGTTTTAAGAGGCCATCGGAACCACTTTTGGAAGACAAAGGAAAAACACAACTAACTCAGAGGAACATTACATAGAGCCATCCTTAGTCTGCCCTGCCTCTAGTACTGAATAAACAGTTCTTATTTCATTGCCTTCAGCAAAATGGGATTAAAATTAACCACAAATGTCAAGAGAGCTTAAGCACCT